AGCTAGAAAATGAGAGAGGAGACCAAGCTACCCCATCAACACCGGGGAACCCCTCCGGGACATGCCCACATGCTCAGAATTATGTGAAGGAGCAACAGAATTTGTTAACCAAAACTAGAAATCTGGTCTTTGCACACCCAAGATTCCAATTTGTGCAGAAGCTGAAGATAAATTCAAGAACTGAATGAAGGTTTTGGATATAGAAACAAAGTGGAAGTTTGTGGAATTGGAATGAAGCTATGGAAAAGTGCAAACTCGTGGTGTCATGAGAGCCAAATGTACGTCGCCGTCATCTCTCCACATGTAACCACACTTACTTCACGCATGGTAGCATAGCGTGTCGGCTGTAAACAGACTCTGCCCTACTACATCATTTTCTCAGCAGAGAATAAAACTTCTACAGTTCACTACCAAGAGACTGGATTTAGGGGCGCCTGGGTGGCTCAGTTGTTAAGCATCTGCCTTCAGCTCAGGTCATGATCCTGGGGTCCTGGGATCGAGCCCCGTACTGGGCTCTCTGCTTGGCGGGAAGCCTGCTTCTCCCTCTCCCACTCCCCCTGCTTGTGTTCCCTATCTCACTGTCTGTCAAATAAATAAACAAAATCTTTTTAAAAAGAGAGAGAAAGAGAGACTGGCTTTATTATTATTATTATTAAACTGCCATTGGTTTAAATTTCCATTTGCCAACTCCTTCTCCTAAGAGAAACTTTTTTCAAGTTCAGCTTCTTCTATTTGTAATTTTGTATAAAAACACCGACCAAGAAACAGCCCTGTCAAAACTTCAGAACTCCTAACAAACAGCTCTTTCTCCTCTCTGATTTTGGGAGCAGTTGCTGACAGATGAACCATGTTAACTGAAATCATATTACCTTAGGTAAACAAGCAGTTTCATTTTTTAAGATGTAAGTAACAATTGTGTGAAATGATGAAGTGATCACATCCACTAGGGACAGATGGTATGTCATTGTTATAAAGGCCTCTACTTCAGTAAACTATGTCTTTCCATCACTATATGAAAGTGCAGGCATGAAGGCCTTTTTGTTGCTCTAGACAGCATTTTTGTGACCCTACATAAACATCAGATACTTCCTGAAGATGTTCTCGATTGATGGTGGGCTACTACTTTTCTTGAAGCAAACGTAGAAACACAAAGTTGCTTATGCTGATGCCTAGTTCCTAAAACCCAAGCTGTCTTACAGATAAGCCTCTGTGAGCCAGAAGAAGGCCTCGGGTAAGCTGAATGCAGAATGTGATGGTTAAGCAGACATGCTCTGAAACACAGGTACACTTGGCTGAGAATCCACACCTCTGGACAAGTGCATGCTTCTGTTCATGATACCAACACTTGTTTGAAGTGCAGAGCCTCATAATCCATGCAGATGTAAAGCTATGCATAAGATGATAAAGCAACCTGTCCTATTTAGTTGAATAAATATTTTTCCATATGGCAGATGCAATTTAAGTATTATTCAAATATCTTTGATATTATGAATCATTTTCACTCTCTGATCACTGAACCTTCATATTCTCAGAAAAACACAAAATAAAAGTTTTATCTTTAATCATTAAAGTTTTCATCTGCCTTCTTCATTTACATTAGTTTTCTTTACTAATTTAAATAAGTATACTATCTAAGTTAGATAATTTCACCTGATAGAAAGAAATATAATTCACCAATAAGATAAAAAACAAAATGATCCTTACTTCCCAATCTATTTCAAGCAGAGGACATTTATATAATCACTGCCAACTGCAAAATCTGAAGGATTAGGAAACCAAATGAAATAATTTAGAGGCCATATCAGGTAGTGATTAAATAAAAATATAGATTTTGAAATTGGACTGTCGTGACTCATTTCTGACTCCAGCACTCACCAGTTTTGTGATGTTGGATAGGATCCTCAACCTATGAAAACCCAGTCTCCTTATCTGTAAAATGGTTGTGTTAACAAACTACTCCAAAGGAGGTAATCCATGTAAAGCATTCTGGGCATACAGGGCTCACAACAAATGCACAATGAATGTTAACTCCATTATTATTTTATACTACTTCCTAGTGATCTAAATATTTTTAACAAGATGCTTCCCTTGAAGAGGTTTTATGTGCAGCACGGAAAATATAGTAAAGTCAAAACTACCAAAGCTACCAAAAGTCAAAACCCAAGTCTTTTGTAGAATTTTATATGTAGAAAGAGGAATAATGGATTTATTTGGGAAAAGGTAGATTTAACAAGCAAGGAACTAGAAACCCACATGAACATAAAGGTTATTTCAACCTGATTTGGAAAAACCAGCAATAAACAAATTTCTAACTGAAGTATTTAAATTTCAGGCAAGAAGCAACCCTATGGTTACTGTTATAGGAAAGAGATAATGTAGCAAAAATACAGTATTCTATTTTTTACCAAAAGTTCTATTTAATTTCCATGTAAGTGATGCTTTGGCTGTATTACAAATGGAATATTTATGTGTAATGTCATAAAGAAATGGTGAGAAAATTTTCAAGAAATTATGACAGCATAAAGGAAATGTGCAAGATTAACAAAGAAATCATTTGGGGGAAATGCAACTTACGTAATCACATCAACAAGGGTAAAGACTGTTCACAAAGAAAGTAAGATTAATTAGATTTAAATTACATGCAGCCACCCTCATCATCAAATATCGTTTTAAAGTTCCCTCAGTCAACTTTAAAGTCATTATTCTTATCATCAAAATCTTATCATACACAGTTGAAACACATCTTTTTCCAAACCTACCACAGAATTTTTAACACCCACCATTATTTAGCTTCCCACTTTGTTTTTCTCTCACGCATATTTCCTTATCAAATATAATCCATCAGAGCATGTTGTCTACTTGTTTAATCAACCTTCAGTCTTGAACCTCCAACCTCACCCATAAGATCTGCCCATCTCAGTTTCTAAGTACTTTCAGATCTTTTCTTACATATTGCCCATCTCGAAATTCAAGAACTTGTATTTAAAATGACTGGGAAATTGACACAAATACCTTTCTGGGCATAAAGGAAGTAAAATAATGAGATACTAAACCCCATGCTTTAATTACTCTTCATATCTAGTGTCCCTGTGCCATCAGGAAACATAGTTCTGGCAACAGTGATGACTTTTCTCTATATAAGTAGAAGGGACAAGTTTCAATGGCCAAAGGTTCTGAAAAGGCAACTCTCTTCAACAGAAACATGTATCTTTCTCAGTATCATATCATATTAAGAACAGGAGAATATGTAGAATGGGTATTTAATAAATACCTCTGGAATCCAACAACTGATTATCAGACATAAAACAGGATGGGAAGTCTTTTAAAGATTTACTTTATTTATTTTAGAGAGAGTGAGAATACGAGCAGGGGGAGGGGGCACAGGGAGAGGGAGAGCATCTCAAGCAGACTTCCTGCCAAGCCTGGAGCCCAATGCAGGGCTTGATCTCATGACCCTGAGATCATGACCTGAGTGGAAACCAAGAGTTGGACACCTAACCAACTGAGTCACCAAGGTCTTCCAGCCTGAAGTCTTTTAAAAATAAGTTCCTACAAAGATTTAAAAAATCAAAAAGAAAAAGAATGATCATTTGAACACATGAAAGTCATATCTTCCACATATCTAAAAACACCGTAAATAAATCTGAAAAGTCAACAAATGGGAGAAAAATTATAATGAATATATAAAAAGTTTTGATGAAAGCATAAATAGAAAAGTAAACGAAGAGATGAACAGGTTATTTTTTAAAAGGTGAAGGACTAGGGAGCCTGAGTGGCTCACCTGGTTAAATGTCTGCTTTCAGCTGAGGTCATAATCCCCGAGTCCTGGGATCCAGTACCGCATGGGTCTCCTTGCTTAGCCGGGGGCCTGCCACTCTCTCTCCCTCTGCCCCTCCCCCTGCTTGTGCTCTCTCTCTCTCTGACAAATAAATAAATAATTTTTTTAAAAAAATCCAACAATGTGGTAATGACTGGAATTTTTATCCCCTTCATAGTCAATACAGAGACTTTAGAATATTTTTATTTCATTTATCTCTCTGAATCATACTGTTTAATATTTTAAGTCTTTAATTTTAGACATATATATGTATTTATGTATTAAAGTTGTTTTATATATATATACAATTTGTTGTACTTCATTTCTTCCTTCTCTCTGCAATTGTTTTCCTTTTTTCTTGTAGAACATCCTTCTAGTATTTCCTTTGGAATGGTTCCTTTGTTCAACTCCTTTGTTAGATCAATGGATAAACTGAAGGACATAGATGTTAAGGGACTGAATGAAGTACAATCTTCAGAGACCAGGCTGGGACTGGAACCAAGATCACTCTGACTCCTGGGCCAGTGATTTTTCCTCTATATCATTTTTAAATGTTGGAATCAGGGGTCCCTGGGTGGCTTAGTCAATTAAGTATCTGCCTTCAGCTCAGGCCAGGATCCCGGGGTCCTGGGTTTGAGCCCCTCTCAGGCTCCTGACTCAGTGGAGAGCCTGTTTCTCCCTTTGCCTGCTGCTCCCCCTGCTTATGTGCTCTTTCTCACTCTCGCTCTATCTCAAATAAATAAATAAAATCTTTAAAAATAAAGAAATAGGGGCACCTGGATGGCTCAGTGGGTTAAGCCTCTGCCTTCAGCTCAGGTCATGATCTCAGGGTCCTGGGCTCGAGCCCCTCATTGGGCTCTCTGCTCAGCAGGGAGCCTGCTTCCACCCCCTTTTCTCTGCCTACATCTCTGCCTACTTGTTGTGATCTCTCTCTCTCTGTCAAATAAATAAATAAAATCTTTTAAAAAATAAAATAAAATAGACATATTTTATTTTTATTTTATTTTTAGACATATTTTATTTTTATTTTATTTTTAGACATATTTTATTTTTAAAATACTCTTCAAAGGTCAGTAACATTTTTCTAATTGAAATATAGACTATATTTTGATGTCATAACAAAGTTTTAATGTACTTGATCCCAATTAATGTACAAAAGCCCAAATGCAGCAAATATACTTACAGGAGGACCTGTGGGGTGGGGGTGGGTTGGAGAGAAGAAGAGAAAGGGGAAGATGAATTAGTGAGGATACAAAATATTAAGATTAAACACAAGATGTAAACATTGTCATAATCATCAGCAAAATACAAGATGAAGAAGTCATTTAGAATTCAGTGATTCTTAATCTTTTTATTAGGTCATGGACAACTTTGATATCACATCAGAAAAGTGTATTTACATCTATCTGAACTTCAAATTTTACATGAAATTTCAATGGATGTTCAGATTCCCTGAGACCTGTCTATGAATTACTGAGGTTCATCTTAAGACTCATCTTAAGACTTAAGTCCTACTTATACCTAAAAATTTAGATAAAATATGAATCAGTAGGATCTTTGGTCATTTATGATAGCCTAGTTAGAGAGAATTGATATATAACTTTCTTGAGTTTGATAAAGTGGTTAAATGAGAAATTTACCCATGATTTGTTCTAAGAATATTTTTCACTCAGTAGCATTGCCAATATATAAAGCACTAAACTCTAATATTTGTTTCTTTGAAACTGTACATCCTCATCAAAACACAGGCAATGTCTAAGAAATATTTCCACATTGTATATTCAATTAAAACACAAGTTTTTAGTAGTCAATAAGTTAGGAACTGACTTTTTAATTTTTCTACAAAACTTCACATCAGTACGAAAGGTTTACCTTCCCCCCCAATCCTTTTTATTTCCTTTGACAAAGATCAATTCACTGATTATTTTGTTCCACTAATATTTCATTATTTCTTTTCTTAAAACACATTTATAAACCATCTTTTAATATAATACTTTGTATTGTGAAAGGGATCCCTATATAAGCATCCAATTATTTAGAATAAATAAGGTTTAAAGATAACTTTTAAGAACACTTAAAAGGAATTAAGCAGCTATACTGCCCAAATTACTGAATTTTCATAAATCCCTTTTACTTTGACATCTTTTGTTTTCTTCTCTGAAAAAGGAAATGAGACCAAGAAAAAAACAAAAAACAAAAACACAACAACCCACAGCAAATCAATCTGTTGCTTTTTTTGGTAGGTTAGTATTTCTGCTATTTTAGCACTTAGAAATTGCTTGTTTTTAACACTGATAAATACTTACTAAAAAAATAGAGGAAAATGGTATTTCTTAGCACAGTAGAATCAAACCTTAAATTTTTTTAAAGTGAAGAAAAAACTCAAATAAAAAAAAATTTTTTGAAACCAAATATCCAAATGAGTGTATACTTACTGTCTTGCTTTTTTTATAAAGTCTAAAACAACAAAAATGTCAATGACCATGTGAAATGTTATCAGGCCATCAATTCTTCCTTGCAAGATAAGAGGAAGATACATACAGTGATTTGGCCTGAAAGCAAAAACTCAACTGAAATGGGCACCAGGTCAATTGGTCCCATGTCAAATTTGCTCATAAACTATTGCACGCCCTTGGCCGGATCACCTGACTGCTCCAGGGCCTCCATTTCCTCAACTACAAAATGAAAATGCTGGATTGATTACTGAGGCTGCTGTCATCACGAAAATTCTAAGGTTATACAAGAGGAATAAAAATTCCAAATTTTGAAATGAATGAGAGTAAAAGCATAACAAAATTGTACCACTTGTATAAAATAACAATAAAGCTTTCCAAGACATGTGCCTCAGTGTCCCAAAGCAGATGTTTTCATAAAGATCCTGAATTTGCTCTCTATGGAGACGGAAGCGTGGGCGAATGGCCACACTGCATGCAGCTAGAAACCATCGACTGTAGCAGAAAGGCCAAACTTCACCTGATGCAGTAAGTAACCCAAAATTGGGTCCCAGTGGTTAACAAACATTAAAAAATTAACAATATTTTCCAAACTTCTAACTACAGTTTGATGGAAAGAAGAAGATGAGAAATATTCTAGGTCTAGCAGAGGAGATTTAAACACACAAGCTTATGCACAACCTCTAGAAAGACAATATAATCATTAATTAGGAGGAACAGATGCAGGAATCTAACCGAAACATTAATGACAAGGAGCAGCTGAAAGAGAGACTTACCAGATTCTCCTCTTCGGCCCCTTTTACCTCGTTTCCCTGGAGGGCCTAAAATAAAAAGAATATTTTTTTTAACATGGTTTTAATATTTTGTTTCTTGTTCAAAAATGGCTAGTAAGTAATTTCTACAATTTATCACTGTTTTTAACTGACAACCTCAAGAAAGGGACCAGATATTTGTAAAGGCCAGCATTATCCTATCAGCATAACTCTTAAGCCTCATTTAATTATAAAACCTACACCAGATGTCTAAACATCTAGCATTACTTAAGAACGATAAACATTCAGAACTTTCAATCATCCTGTCTGGATAACATCAATAAAGAAAAACTTTAATTGCAAATTGGTACTGTTGAGATTTCATGTTTCTTATGAAAATTTTTTTTCTAAAGGTTGTAGTATATTAATAATTAAAAGCACTGAGCACAAATGACAATAGTTCCTCTTCAGTCAGGTCCATCACGATTCCTTTAAAAATATTTAGTTCACAGTTAATTAAAAGTATATATTCATAAAGGAAATAATCCTTACAATATTTCCATTTTATTACATATGAGTTTACATATATTGAAATTTCTCTAATTGAGAACCAGTGGAGTTAAAACCATATTCTTAATTGGAAAGTGTTTAGGTACTAGCTATAGGTCTCATTTTTCTAAGGAGCTAGCTCATTATTGTCAGTCAGTAAATATTTAATCTTTACGATGATCTCGCTTTGAAAGGGGAGGAAAAAACTTTTTTTTTTTCCCCAGTGAATTGCCTATAAAGACCACCTAGCTAGTATGCATCAGACTTAACATAAGATTCTAGGCATTCATGGCTTTTAAGCCATTGCTCTCAATTATATAATTTCTGCCTTTATTTCCTTGAGTAGGACTAGATCCCACTGAATTATGGTTCAGGCAAATAGAAAAGAATAATTAGCCCACAATGAGAATTAAGGTCTTATAATATTTGCTGGAAGAAAGAGGCCAAGGAAAATACAGACCCTCCTGGTTTTAAAGAACGACCTGCTAAGTTGGACTGATGACTTCCAAACTCTAGAAAGTTTGAGACAAGCAGCACAGGCCTTAGCATCCAGCCAACTTTCAATGGGATTCTGAGCTACCAACTTCCACATGGAAACACTGTCATGAGAACAGAAACATCAGTGGGCCAGTTAGTTTTCCCTCAAGCTCTTACATAGAGTTAGTCTGGCCATCTGTGTTTTGTAAGAGGTTAAAAACAATCAAATAATAAAATTGGTTGAAAATGTTAGGAGAATTTTTGCAGCAGAGTCAAAAACTGTTATTCAGAATTTCAGATTCTCTCTGTATTCTGGAATAAGAGAAACTAATTTCTTTCTTCTTTCTTTCTTTCTTTCTTTCTTTCTTTCCTTTTTCATAGAGTAAAATTTCTTGGATACTATTCAGGATATACTTGGCCAAACTGAGAGTAGAAGGAGAATCACATAAATAGGCAAATAAACTTAGTAGGACCCTAATAGGTATGAAAAATATACTTATTTACACACACACTCAAACATACATGCACAGAAATATATTGACATATTCTGATATTTACAATGTCCTTAGGACTAGGAACCAGATTTTATTTTCTATACAAAATCACTTAAACTAACTAGTTAGTAAACACTATATACTTAACGATGTCTGTGGTCTGCATAGGAGGCGATACGGGTTATGTATAAGATGGATGGGATGTATAAGATGTAATAGAATAATTAGTATTCAAAAAAGAAATGGGTATGTCCATAGGCTAGAAATGGACCAGAAATGCAAAGTGGAAAGCAGGGATAAAGCCATGAACCTAGTTCTAGAACCTAGTTCTAGACAGAGGAATGATGGCCACAAGTACTATTTCTAGAGAATAAATACACAAAAGTTCTCTAACCAGAATCAGTGGCTTAGAAATGCTAAAGACAAGCTGAAAAACAAACAAACAAATAAAAAAACCAACAACAACAAAAACCAAGTCTCTGGCTTAACGGCTGAAGAATACAGACATAATCTCTCGATCAGAAAATGAAGTAACCATCTGCTGGTTGGGTGCCTAACTCTATGATATCTACAACATAAATCTGAGACAGGAGTCCAGAAATGCTAGTTCAGGACCAACCTGGTCTAGAAGGCTGAGGATGTCAGGTAAAAACAAACATAAAAGAACTAGGTAAGAAAGAGTGAGTACAGAGAAAAGAAAGGCATTCATAGTGAGAAAACTATAGCAAAAGAAAGAAAATACCTCCTACTCATAATGGGTACAAAAAAAATTCCAAAACAAATGAAGAAATCTAAGGCCGCGACAGGCAATACTCAATAATAGGATCATGAATTATTTCCAGGTAAAATTAATTTTCAAAAACCATCAGACAGGAGCACTTGGGTGGCTCAGTTCATTAAGTGTCTGACTCCTGATCTGGGCTCAGGTCATGATCTCAGGGTCATGGGATTGAGCCCTAAGTTATGAGCTCCACTTTCAACACGCCTGCTTAGGATTCTTTCCCTCTCCCTCTCCCTTTGGCCCTTACTCTGCATGCATGCACACACATTCTCTATCAAATGAACAAATAAATAAAAACTTTTTAAAAAATCAGAAAAATTTGGTATGTTAATTACACTTTAAGAGATAAATGAAGAAGTAACATCTATTGAAGAATAAGGGATTTAAAAGATAAATTTTTTTAAAAAATGTATTTGAGGGGCGCCTGGGTGACTAAGTGGGTTAAGCCTCTGTCTTCGGCTCAGGTCATGATCTCAGGGTCCTGGGATGGAGCCCTGCATCAGGCTCTCTGCTCAGCGGGGAGCCTTCTCCCCCGCCCCACCCTCTACCTGCCTCTCTACCTACTTGTGATCTCTCTCTCTGTCAAATAAATTAATAAAATCTTTTTTAAAAATGTATTCAAAAGAAACTTTTAGAAACCTGGAAGATAATTAAAAGAAAAATAGTCACTGAAATTAAAAAAAATAAAAAGAACAAAATATTCAAATTCTAGCCTGGATATGGTTGAAGACCGAATTGATGTAAAAGATGCAGAATGCAGCCCAGAGACAAATCCGATACTGATCTCTCTCTTTCTCTCTCTCTCTCTAACTACTCTGCTCTGAATGTTTGTGTGCTCCCAAAATTCATATGTTGAAATTCTAACCCTCAGCAATGATGGTAGTAGGAGGTGGGGCTTTGGGAAGGCAATTAATTCATGATGCTGGGACCCTCATGAATGGGATTAGTACCTTATAAAACAGACCCCACAAAGATCCCCTAACCCTTTCCACTCTGTGAGGATAGAGTGAGAAGACACTAGCTATGAACCAGGAAGAGGGCTCTCACCAGAAGGTAACCATGCTACCACCTTCATTTTCGACTTCTCAGCCTACAGAACTATGAGAAATATATTTCCGCTACTTATAAATCATCCAGTCTGTGGTTTTTATTATAGCAGTGCAAAAAGACTAAGACCCTATCTATCTATTTATATTTCTATCTAATTGCCCATCTACCTACCTAGCTATTTATTTTTGTCAAGGAGCAAAATTTTACTTATATCAATAAGAAAACCCAGAAGAAATGATAGGGACGTCCTTGTTTAAGAGATAATAGATGAGAGTTTTCCAGAACTGAATATCGGAGTCCTGAGGTTGAACTTATACCCCAAGTGGCAATAGAAATAAATCACACTTAAATGTAATAATGTTCAAGAATAATGAGAAAATGTTAATAACTACCAGAGGGAAAATTACAGTGGAAGGTACTTAGATTGACTGTTGTCTCACCCACATAAAATATGTCAGAAGAGCCTAGTCCTGATTTTCATAACAAATTTCAGAAATCTCTAATTATTATTTGCTTATTGGAATTAGTTTCTCATTTTCCCCTGAAGAATGTTCCTTTTAAACAGTAGAATTTGGGGTGCCTGGGTGGCTCAGTGGGTTAAGTCTCTGCCTTTGGCTCAGGTCATGATCCCAGAGTCCTGGGATCAAGTCCCGCATCGGACTCTCTGCTTGGCAGGGAGCCTGCTTCCTCCATTCTCTCTGCCTGCTTCTTTGCCTACTTGTGATCTCTGTCAAATAAATAAAGTCTTAAAAAAAAAAAAATAAATAAATAAACAGTAGAATTTATCAATAAAAATAAATTGCCTTCATGTTTAAAACTAGTTTGAAATAAACCATAAAAATAACTTAAAATGTATTAAATTATGAAAAAGTGATTTTAAAAAAGCAATGATATCTTTTTAAGAAATTAAGAAACAAAGAATATTTCTGAACACATATGTCTTAAATATTCAATCAGAGCCTTAAAGAAATAAACCAGCGGTGCCTGGGTGGCTCAGTCAGTTGAGTGTCTGACTCTTGATTTCAGCTCAGGTCATGATCTCAGGGGCTTGAGATCGAACCCACACTGGGCTCTGCACTCTGCAGGGAGTCTGCTTAAAGACTTCCTCTCACCCTCTTCCTCTGCCCCTCCCCGCCATTTGTGTGCACTCTCTTTTTTTTTCTCTCTCTAACATAAATAGATAAATCTTAAAAATACATATACCAAATGCTGTGGGAAATACATCTGTTATACTGAGAATTGAGAAAGAATAAAATTTAAGGAAATGGAAAAGATAATTGGCAAAACATACCTATTGAAAGTCAAAGGTTTTACAAAGAATTTCATAATATGTGAGAGAGAAAATGAAGCTGAACTAGGTTATGATAAAGTAAGAATCTAAACTCAGTGAGGTTTACAAAAAAAATACTAGATTTGAGAAGAGGATGTTTCAGTTACTGTAAGAAACATAAGACTGAAATGAGTCTTATTATATTATATTAGGCTTAGTGAAGTAATAAATTATGTAAAACTCTCAGAAAGACATAGATACAGATCTTGCTTAAAAGGGAATAAATAGAAATTCTGAAAAAGTCTATTGTGCCTCTAAGACAATTTGATATTGCTTGTGAATTTAAGGGAAAAATCATTTTTAAACAAAAATGATAGGATGGGATGAATTTAACACTAGACAGCTGGCAGATCACTAGAGTGAGAAAATGAAAAATCAGAAAAGACAA